ACTGCAAGGGCACCGGCCGGAAGGACAATGCGCTGAGGCTTCTCAGGTCGCTCCTGCCTGGGGCTCCGGTCTGGGGATGCACATCGCGCTGGCATCCCCGCCGCCCTGCCTCCTGCTCCTGCTGGTGTCGCCGCAGTGCGGCCTGGCAGTGCCCTCCGGGGCTCCGATGGCTCTGCAAGGTCCCTCAAGGAGCAGATGCACTCAGACCGGGGCTCCAGTGACGACGGAGAGATGACCAGCATGCCCCAACCCTCCTCCCTAGCCCCGCTGCCCCTCTGGGAGGCCTTCCTGGTCCCCCACCCCGCTGGCAGGACCAAGGCGTACAGACAACCATCACCGAGGATGCTTCCCCCTGCCCCCACCCCCCACCCTGGCTGTCAGTCAGCCCTGAGAGGTAGGCTGCTCTGTCCTGGCCACCACCACTGCCACCTCCATCCAGGTGTGAGTGGGTCGGCTCCTTTGTGGACCGGGCTCTGTGTTGAGGGTTCTCAGCGGGCCACCGGGCCTTTCAAGGGAGCTTGTTTGAGATGCGCTTTCTCGGGCCCACCTGGCCTGCTGACATGCCTTGCAGGCATGCTCTGTGGAGGAGGCAGGTCAGCAGCGCCCCCTTTTCCTGGGAAGGGCAGAGCCCATGGGCCCTCCCTGGACTCCATTTGGTTCTCTGTGCCGTCTGTCCCGCCCCCCTCCCATTTGAGCCAATGGGCCTCATGGAGATGTGCAGTCAGACCCTGCACCCACCCAGCGGTCACAGCTGGCTCTTCTCCCTGGTGGGCTCTGTCTCCGCAGTCGGGGGTGGGGGGCCGAGAGCTGAGCCGCGCTGTCCATCTCTCCCGCAGGAATGAGCTGGAGCGGCAGTTCCTCGAGTTGCTCCAGTTCAACATCAACGTCCCCTCCAGCGTTTATGCCAAGTATTACTTTGACCTTCGTTCTCTGGCCGAAGCCAACAACCTGAGCTTCCCCTTGGAGCCCCTGAGCCGGGAGAGGGCCCACAAGCTCGAGGTGAGGGGCATGGGCGCCCAGGGCAGGCTGCGCACTCGCGGAGGAATGGGGCACGGTGCCCGCGTGCAGTCCGCACAGCCGCTGGTTGTCAGTGACCTTCCTAACAGTGGGCTTCTACTTACTGCACGTTGAGTCTTTTTTTAAATCAAAAAAACCTTTTTTGAACACCTGTTTTTAAAAACATGAGCCCACAAAGAAAGTTTCCTGGCCTGCACTTTTATGAGAAAAAAGATACCAGATGGCCCAAACAGTTGGGATTCCAGAAAGGTTTGATTCTGCTTTCATTTTTCATTTTTTCAAAATGCTCTCTTCACGGCCCGCTTAGAGCTGGGGCCGCCCCGCTGTCCCCTCCTGGGCTCAGGGCTATGGTCATCAGGCTGCGGGCCTCTCCTGCCTTGCACTTCTGACGGGAAAGATGGCAGGGGGGAGCCCTCCGCAGGGGAGGGGCGCTGAGGCCCTGCACATCACCGTGGTCTCACCTCACAAGTCTCACCTTTGCCAGGCGCGGTAAGCGGCCCAGTCCTGTCCCAGGCTCGGGGAGACCCGGGAGCATCAGGATGGCCAGAGTGGAGGTCTCCCAGGGCCACAGCTGCCAGCAAAACAGTCAGGAGGTGGGGAAGAGGGTTCTTAAGGAGGCAAACATTTAAAATCAATGAAACTTTAAAAAGCTGATAGTACATTAGTCCCAAGAAAGAAACTTAGCAGAAGTTGGAGAAGACTGGTTGCCCAGCACTGGGTTTAAGTCGCAATGCAGTGAGGTTTCCAGAACTCAGCCATGTGGCCAGTGGCGGTTACGGCAAGGCCGCTCTTCTGTTCAAGGGCAGATGTAGGAAACCCTTCCTCCGAAGGTCTTGCCCCGAGGCAGGTGATGTCAAGCCTTGGCAAGGACACATGTGAAGTGGTTAGGCTGGTGAGGAGCGTGGGTCCCCATCCAGCCCACTCTGTTGCATTCCTGGTGTGCTGGTGGCCCCGTCACTCCTCCCAGCTCAGGAGGGGCCCTGGCAGCCCCTTGGCCCGCAGGAAAGCCAGCCTGTGGTTCCCTGAGGAAGAGCATCTCTATGCCAGGTCGGCCGCTTACGAGCACAGGGTAGACCAGTGTCTCCCACAGGCGCTCTGAGTGGAGACCTCGCCTGACCCTGAGGCAGCAGCCGGGCAGGGGGAAGGATGTCATTCGTCTCTCTCTCAGCAGTGGAAGCCCCTTTGAGATAGTTTATAAGGTGTGGGATATCATCCTTTTCCTGACCAGAGGGTTAGCAGACACACCCATGATGGAGGATGAGGAGTCCCCAGGAGGTGTCAGGAGTCGGGACGTGTCCGAAGCCGGCGAGCAGGCGGGACTCCCGTGGGTTCGCAGTGCTGAGGGACGCGGGCTCCAGGCTGACCTGACGGCCTCTCTCTCACCCTGCAGGCCATCTCTCGCCTGTGCGAGGACAAGTACAAGGACCTGCGGAGGCCCACGAGGAAGCGGTCAGCGAGTGCTGACAATCTGACTCTGCCCCGGTGGTCCCCGGCCATCATCTCCTAACCGTGGGCGTCCGCGCTGGAGGCCGTGCCATCCCGCAGCTTCTCCTCTAGTTGGAGCAGAGACAGACCTGGGGTGGCTGGTGTGGTTTCTCCTTTTGGCTCCTTTGTGAGGTCCTTGTGCCGCCAGGCTGCCTTGATGACCGCCTCCGCGCGCCCCGGGGTTCCCAGCGGCCGGGGCCGGCACCGGCACCTCCTCGTGGAGCAGAGACTCTGACCCTGGAGGAGGGACTGGGGCGTCGCGCGGAGGCAGGGAGAGGGGCTTGGCCGCTTTTCAGCCCCGAGTTCGAGGGCGAGGTCCACGGTAGGCGGAGGCGGGAAGGCCCGCGGAGAGGACCAGGTTGGATGCGCATTAAAGGCGAGCGCCGGTCACCACCCGGACCAGTACGTCCTGAGATGTCTTGCATTCCTTCTTGCTGCTTCTCGAGGTGTGGGGGGATCTTTGTTCGTGTTATCCTGTCTGCGTTTTGGGCCCACAGAGCAGAGAGCATGGTTTGTACCAACCAGGCACAGACACGAATAAACAGCGCCGGCTTGTTCTCTGCGCGCCCGCCCCGCGCGCTGTCTGCTGAGCTTTCTTCCGCCCGGGAGCGCTCGCGCGGCCTGCGC